GAAAATCGGTTCAGATTTAGATATAGCTCCCATATATATTTGCGTCCGATTTAAGGTAAATGGAGTACCAAAGTCCCTATATATCTTTCGATTTGCACGAAATTTGGCATAACGTATTAAATTAAGCCTAGAGTGATGTCTGCCAAGTTTCGAGAAAATCGGTTCAGATTTAGATATAGCTCCCATATATAGTTTCGTCCGATTTCATGTAAATGGTGCCCCAAATTCCCTATATATCTTTCGATTTGCACGAAATTTGGCATAACGTATTAAATTAAGCCTTGAGTGATGTTTGCGAAGTTTCGAGAAAATCGGTTCAGATTTAGATATAGCTCCATATATAGTTTCGTCCGATTTGATGTAAATGGTGCCCCAAAGTCCCTATATATCCTTCGATTTGCTCGAAATTTGGCATAGCGAAATGGATTAGGTCTAGATTTATGTGTGTTAAGTTTGCTGAAAATCGGTTCAGATTTAGATATAGCTCCCATATATATTTTCGTCCGATTTAAGGTAAATGGTGTACCAAAGTCCCTATATATCCTTCGATTTGCACGAAATTTGGCATATCGTACTTAATTAAGTCTAGAATAGTGCACGTTAAGTTTCTCGAAAATCGGTTTGGATTTAAATATAGCTCCTATATAAATTTTCGTCCGATTTAATGTAAATAGTGTACCGAAGTCCCTATACATATTTCGATTTGCACAAAATTTGGCATAGTGTACTAAAATGAGTCTGGAGATTTAAGTGAAATGAGATTTATATATAGCTCCTATATATTTTTGCTTCCGATTTTATGTAAATTGTGCACTAAAGACCCAAAGTTTGTCCGATTGCCACACAATTATGTACAATACAGAAGTTAATATAAGATAATCTCTGCCATTCTCATTGAAATCGGTTCAGATTTTGATATAGCTTCTACATATACATTTTCGTCCAATTTTACACAAAATTGACACAAATTTTGCACAACGTACTAAAGTTTTGAAATTTGGAAAGTGTAGAAATCGGTTCAGATTTTGATAGAGCTTCTATATATATTTTCTGCCGAGTTTTGGTAATTTTGTCCCATTGTAAGAAGCAACCGTATATCTGAACAAATGAAAAATTTAGTATAGGTTGCAGAATTCGACGTCTATTAGCAATCCTCTGTTGAATATACCCAAAGTGGTGAAGGGTATCATATAGTCGGCCCCGCCCGACTTTTCTACTTTCCTTACTGGTTAATATTCCATATGGCCCATATTTGATACCATTATCCCTAGGGATGGTATAAATATCTGTGCCAAATTTCAAAGCTCTAGCTCAAAAATTGTGACCTCCAGCGTAATTTTAAACATGTCATCAGTGCTGCCAGTTAAATTTCATGAAAAATCGTCAATTTTTCAGAAAAAAATCGGCATAATCGGCATTTGTATTTTTAAAAATCGGCAAAAAATCGGCAGCATATAATTTATAAATAAATTAATATTTTTGGTTTATAACAAATCAATATTGTTTATTACATTAATAATTCTGTATAAAAAATAACATAAAAGATTCATTTTTCTACAAAAAATGTAGATTTTTCTAAAATATAGTAATTATTATGTACACTAGTGAGATCTTTCAGAATTACGTATAACACAGTGTGATATTAAAGTCATAAAAATAACTTACAAACTAGTACATATTTTTATTACACATTTTTAGCAATTCATTATCAATTTTGATATTAAAACAATTTGAATTATTTAGTTTGAGGCAATCTTTAGAATAAAGAATCCCTTCCAATGAATCATTCTCAAGTGAACTTCTAATTTTAATTTTTTTAAGGTTTACCTGGCTAAAAATTCGTTCCACATTTGCTGTGGAGTGTGGAAGAACCATAATTCTTTGTACAAATTTAGACAAAATTGGAAAAGCTAAATTGGAGTCCCCACATTTAATTTCGGAAATTTTTTTCCAAAATTTTTTTAAATTATATTCTGCATTTTCAAAAATTTCTTCAAAATTCAGAAAGTTTAACTCCCTAAACTCGGAGTCTAAAGATTGCCTCTCATTTTCAAAAATAAAATCGGGGAATTCTTTTAAAATATCTAGAAAAGAATTATTGCCCTTCTTCATTACTCTTCCAGGATCAATAAGTTTTAAGCATTTAAATGAATTTAAATTAAAATCAAAACGTTTTAATATTTGGTTTTCAATTTCTATATGAAAATTAATGCAAGTGCTAACTATTTTGTCTATGTCATTTTTGGAAAGTTTTGTTTCTGAAACAATATCTTTTGCATATAAACCCAAATATACTTCATCATAAAAAATCATCATCTAAAAATTTGTTCGTGCCCATCAGCGTGACCGTTGTGCCACTAAAGTGGCAATTTTGCCACTTTTTTTCGCCTTTGCTACTTTTGTGATACTTTTTCATTTTGATACAAAATGTGCCACTTTTTGAATTTTTGTGAAACTTTTTGTTACTTTGTGCCACTTTTTTAAAAAAGTACATAAATTAAAGCGATTTTGCATAAAACATAATGATTTGTTTTGTAATATTGTATCAGACGGAGCGATTTTTAACTAGGGGTCGTTTGTAACAGACGGAGCGATTTTTATTTTGATTATTATTATTAGGTCGCATTCGCATTTGTGTGTTGGTCTGTTCCCGTACTGCAAGAATCTACTAGATTTTACTATTTTCTTCGATAACATAAAGGAAAATTCGTTATCGTAGTAAAAAGTAGTAGATTGTTGCAGTACGGGAACAGACCATGTGTGTTTCGATTTGTAGAATTTTCGATTGCTAAGTCCCAATTTAGATTAGGCGAGTTTACTTGCGGCAAGTTTTTGTTTGCAGGAGAGAGGGGCAAGGGGAATAGAAATGGAAAAAATTTGCTCGTACCGACAATTTTCTGGCAATTCGTTTTGTGTGTTTTGTTTGTAGTGTCAGTAATTTGAAATACCAATCCAAAACATTTTCGAACATAACAAAACATGCACAAAATATCAAAATAAAAAAAATTGGTTTGAAACCGAATTGCCTTGTATAGACGCATGAAGCAATTTCAAAAGAGAACGATAAAAATTGCCGCAATTAAACTCGCCTAATCTAAATCAGGACTAATTGTAAATAAGTAATTAAAAAATAAATGTTATGCCATGTACAGACGAGCGTTGTTCGCTCTCTTATTCGTTGTTCGACCCTAAATTATGAAGTAATTACTTAGTTCCCCATACAAAATTGTCTGAGCGAACACCGACTTTTGTACGTTGTTCAATTCGAATCACTCTCTGAATCACCAAGAATTTTGTCCCATCTCTAACAATTGGGAGAATTTATCGAAAATAAATTAATTTTGACAGCATGAACAATTTTTTAAATTTTTCAAACTTTTTCAGTAAAATTGAAAATGATGAATGAAAAGTAACCACAATTCTAGTTTTTATATATGCAGAAGGATGTAAATTTTGTTGTCTACATAATGCAATGTGCATTTCTTTCCCCTTGGTTCTAATTAGCGTACAAAACGAGAAACAAAAGTGGGGAAACCCAAACAAAAATTCTCTCATTTTTTAAATGTGACATTTGAGTTGAGAAAATATAAAAATGTATTGAAAACAACAATATTTTCAGAAAAAATGGAAAACATGAATTAAAAGTTAAGAGATAGGGGTTGATATTATAGTCAGGAGAAAGAGAATTATTTTTTCTATTTAGATCCATATGTGATTCACGCAAATATGTTACAATTTTGGTGTGAAACAAGAAACAAAAAGTTTGAAATAAAAAAACTCTGATGACATGAATTAAGAATAGTGTTGTATGAACGGGTTAATTCATATACGTAATTCTGAGAGCGAACTACGTTGTTCGAATGCCCGTCAGAACATGGCATTATTCAATAACAATATATGGTCTGATCCCGTACTGCAAGAATCTACTACTTTTTACTACGATAACGAATTTTCCTTTATGTTATCGAAGAAAATAGTAAAATCTAGTAGATTCTTGCAGTACGAGAACAGGCCAATAGTATATACCGCTTATATATTGTAAGAATATGTGATTTTATTTAGTTTTTTTCAGTTTACTGTATATTAAAATACACATTAATGAATTATTTGTTATGTTTTATATAGTTTTTTATTAAATAAAAAGTAAAAAAAGTGTGCCACTTTTTGTGACACTTTTTCAGAAGTTATGTGCTACTTTTTTTAAAAAATGATACTTTTTGTGATACTTTTTGAAAATTTTCAGCGGTCACGCTGGTGCCCATGATGTAAAATGTAAACTAGACAGAGTACAATGCTGACAAAAAAATGCAGATATCTAAGCCATTGAAAACGGCTGCGGCGTGTCGCCGATAGTTATAATGATTTAAAGCTGCCAATTTTATATGTTTGTATGGTAACGCCGTATTAAATTAAAAAGTTAGACAATTTGTGTCGATTGTTGAAATATCGGCAATTCTGGGGCAAAAATCGGAAAATCGGCATTTTCCATTTTTAGAGTGAAAAATCGTCAAAATGCCGATAAATCGGCAAATATGGCAGCCCTGCATGTCATCTATTTATTTGCATTGCCAAAACAAAACAGAACACAACAGCTGTCTTTTCAACACTCTCTTCCGGTCACACACAGCAACCCACTTCCTCCCTCTCTCTCTCACTATCTCCCCACATATTATGGATTGTTCATGTTCGTGTCTAATAAAAAGGTAAACAATCATGATATTAATTCTCATTAACGGTTAAACACTCTTTAATAATTCCCTCCCTCCCTCTCTCTCTCTCTCTCTTTATCTCTCACACATAGTAGTATGGAGTGTTCATGTTCGTGTCTAATGAAAAGGTAAACAATAACGATGTTAATTCGCGGTTAACGGTTAAACGCTCCTTCTCTCTCTCTCTCTCTCTCTCTTAACTCATTCTCTCTCTTGGATTACAACAGGAATACCTTATTATTAATATATTGTAAATAAAAAATATAAATATATAAATTTTGTTCTACTTACGTCCATAGATTCGGCCAAATCTTCTTCATCAGAATCCACGGTGGATTCCACCAAACCGGAGAAATCAATCTCCTCACCATCCAGTGATGAACCGTAAACGGATGCCATTGTATCACTGCCACTGTATGCTGAACTTGTATCACTTGAATGTGAACCACGATTGCATTTTTGATGCAATTCTGGCCTAGAGGGTGGTTGATACTGTTGTTGTAACAGTAACAGCAATAACGACAACAACAACAACAGCAAAACACAGCAGCAACACCAACACAATTATAACAGCATAAACAAAACAACAACGCCAAACATGAACGGACAACCGAAACAAAAAATGCACGAACAAACGAGAAGCAGCAGCAGCAAGTGGGTGGGTAACGGCGGCAGGCATTGTCGTCATCATCAAATGAACGGCGTCGTCGTCATCATCGTCACCAACATCGTAGTTAATTGAAAGGAAGAAGAAGAAAATATGCAAGAAAAAAAAACGAAAAATAAAAGAGAGGAAATTAAATTAATATTTACAACAAAAATGTAAGTGTGTAACAAATGTATGTATGTAAAAATATATGTATGTAACAAAATATGTAAAAGAAATAATACGTCTGTTTAATACGTGTTGTGTAGTTGCAATAAAGCGAAAAACGAAGTACATGTGTAATTCCGACTAGCATTCTTTTGTTATTGTTGTTTTTTGTTCATTTCCCCTTAACAATGAATGGATGGATGAATGGAATGAATGGATGGCATGACAGCCATGAAAGAAAATGACAACAACAATAATAATAAAATACCAGAGAGAAATGTGTGAAATTCAATCCAAACATTACACCACCAGTAAATCTGGTGATGGCCAAGGGAAACTGGTATATACAGTGGGCTCCAAATAAAGGTAAATGATGCAAAAAGAGGGATTTTTTCTCGGATTTTAATAAAGAAGTGGTTTCGAGCTATTAAAAAAATGTAAAATAATGGGTGTAAATATCCTAAATCATTCCTAAGCGCCAAATAATGCCATACAATCAATAAACAGTGATGTGGTATGTCTTTTGGTGTAAATGTCGAAAATGTAAAAAATTTCAATTGGAGTTTTTTTTTGTTGGTTGTAAAATTCACAGTTTTCCCAAACTTTAATATAAACCAAAAAAATAATTAATCAGTGATGGTATGGTATGGTGTCGATGTCAAAAATGTCACTTGCATGATTTTAATGGGCGTAAATTATATAATGGTGGGTGTAATCTTCTAAAATCACTTATAATATTTAGCCAATGTAATATGTTAAAACAATCAGTGATGGCCATGTCTTTTGGTGTAAATGTCGAAAATGTAAAAAAATGTCATGTTGGTTGTAAACTAAAAAAATCGTAATTTTAATATGAAATCAAAAATTAACTAATTATTGAGGGTGTGCCATTTGGTATAAATGTCAAACAGGTCACATTCACAATTTTAATGGGTGTAAACCCTGAAATGATGGTAGTAAATTCTCACAATATTTTCTAAAGTGGAAATAATTGTAAATAACGATGTTTATGATAAATTACATGAAATTATTCAAGAATGTACAAATGTCGTAAAGGTCGTATTCATGTATTTGATGTTGTAAACCTCTAAAATCTTCCTTAAGTGTAAAATTAGTACGAAAATGCCAAAAATGACCACATAATAGAAATTATTAATCATGTCGTAAATGTCGCAAACGTCGTATAGACACTTTTAGTGGGTGTAAACTCTAAAGATGTGTGTATTGACCTAAAGTAAAGTCTTAAACATTTAACATTTGTGACGAAATGCAAATGTAAAATACTAATTTTGGATGGTTGTAAATTATGAAAATGGCATTCAACATGAAAGAATTACGAATAATGTCAAAATTGACAAATTCCATGGACTACTGAAAAATGTACAAATGTCGTAAACGTCGTATTCATGTATTTGTTGGTTGTAAAACTCTGAAATTTTTCTTACGTGTGAAATAAGTGCGAACATTTTATAAGTGACTACATAATATAAATTATTAATGATGTCGTAAATGTCTCAAACGTCGTACAGACAGTTTTAGTGGGTGTAAACCTCAAAAATTTTACCTTTCTTTGTAATAGGTATTAGAAATGTATAAATGTTCACTCAATACAATTGTTCATCTATGCTGCAAATGTAGAAAATGTAAAATACTCCAGTTTTGTGGTTGTAAATCTTTATTCAATGGATGTAAACTCTTGAAACCATGTATTATTTCAAATTAAGCTACAAAAAGGCAAAAATGTGATATATTTTGTATTTTCGAAAATGTCGTAAACCTCGTACACAACTTTTTGAGGGTTGTAAACTTAAAAAATTGTCTCCAACATTGAAATAAATTCGAAAGATTACATATTTGACCAAATAAGTTATTTTTTAAAAAAGTGTACGTATCGTGAATGTCATAAACACCTCATTCATGCTTGTAAACCTGTATTTAATGGGTATAAACCTGTATTCAATGGGTGTAAACACTGGAACGATGTATTATTTCAAATTGTGCTATAAAAAGCGAAAAATGCGAAATATTTTGTATTGTCGAAAACCTCCTACACAACTTTTTAAAGGTTGTAAACTTAGAAAATTGACTCCTATATTAGAATAACTTTGAAAAATTACATATTTGATTAAATAAGATATTTTGTAAAAAAGTGTAGGTGTCGTAAATGTCGTAACCACCTACTTTATGGTTGTAAACCTGTATTCAATGGGTGTAAATCCTTGGAACGATGTATTATTTCAAATTGAGCTATAAAAAGCGAAAAATGCGAAAGATTCTGTAATGTAAAAAATGTCGTAAACCTCATACACTACTTTTTAAAGGTTGTAAAATAAAAAAATTGTCAAATATTGAAATAACATTGAAAAATTACATATTTGATCAAATAAAATAATTTTTCGTGGAAAGTGTACGTGTCGTAACAGTCGTAAACACCACTATTATGGTAGAAAACCTAGCAAAATGACCCCAGTTCATTAATTTATTATCAATTAAGTGATAATTGTCTACCTAATTGAAATTAACTGAAGTCAACTGTGGTAAATAATGGGTATTCAAAAAGTAATAGTGAAAGAAGGTTGAGCAGGAAAAAAAGAAATACTGGTTTGAATAAACGACAAATTGTGGATTTGTAAAAAGTTATTGTTGTTGTTTTCCTACTTACATGTTGACGTATATGATGATATGGATCCATTAGTTGTTATTATATGTATGTATATATAGAGGCAGGGGCTGTAGCAGCAATAGTTTAGGTCGTCGTATCGCTATCTTCTTTGCTTAGCTAGTTTATGTTGTTTTGGATTTTGCTATGATGATGATAATGATGATGACTTTTTTTCTTCGTAATTTCTTGTTGTTGTTGGGATTTGAAGTAACAATTACATTTGTTGTTGATTTTTTTTATTTTGCAAAATAAATTTTTATTATGTGAAGATACGCTGCTTATTATCGTCGTCGGTTAAAATAAATGTCCTCCTTTTTTTTGCTTGCTGCGAATATTTGTTACACTACTACTGGAAAATTGTTGTGATATGTTTTCTTTTGTTGTTGCATCTGTATGTATGTGGTGTGTGTTTGTTTCTTTGTAAATTTGTTATTTGGCGATTAAATAAATTCTACTTTTGCTTTCATTTCGTTATTTGCCTTGTTGTTGTTTTTGTTGTACAGTGAACGGCACAAAGTGGTTGAAACCATTGTTTCCAAAAACATAAATCCTTAATGGTGACATTTATGCTGTTGTTGTGCAGTATTTTTTAATTATTGGTCACGTTCAAAATGTCAGGAGTGGTATCTGGAAGAAAGATAAGAAATAAATTAAAAATTAGGATATTTGGGCTGATATGCTTTAAGAGAATTTATTCGTACAAAAGTAAAAAAATAAAAAAAAAATTAAAAAAATTTTTTTCCAGCAACAACAACGGAGCGTCAAACTTGTCAGTTTTTTTGCAGCGACGACAATATATATGGATTTATTAAAAATTACATATTTTCAATCACTTCATTGTTTTAAACATATTTTCATAAAATTAAAAAAAATATCCTGTTTTTAATTAAATTTTATTTGACCTTATAAATTTTTTGTTATTGTTTTTTTTATCTAATAAATCGGATCTAAGATTAAAAAAATTAATTTCTTTAAAATTTCTTAAAAAAAATAAACTTCAAAATTTGGATATTTTAGAAATTTCCAAAAATTCACAAATAAAAAAAAATTGTGTAAAAAAAATGTCATTAATAACAATATAATTTTTCAAAACGGTTTTCAAAATTGTTTGATCCAATATGTTAAGTTTTGTTTCCTTTTTTATATTTTAATTTTTTTTATATTTTCATTTTTATTTTTTTTTTTAATTTATTTTTTTATTTTATTTTTTTTTTAATTTTATTTTTTTAAATTTTTTTTAATTTTATTTTTTTAAATTTTTTTAATTTTATTTTTTTTAATTTTATTTTTTTTTAATTTTATTTTTTTTTAATTTTATTTTCTTCTTAATTTTATTTTTTTTTAATTTATTTTTTTTTAATTTTATTTTTTAATAAAAAAAATCTTTGAATTTTTGTTTTTGAGGGACCTTAAGACTCAATATTTTTCAAAAAATATATTTTTGGTAAATGTTAAAAAATAAACAATTTACCATTTTTTAAATTATAAATTAATATTGTTGATATTTTTTCCATTTCAGTTCAAAATTTTAAAGTTTTTGTAAATTTATAACAATTTTGAGAAATTAAAATTTTTAATTTTTTTCATAAAAATTGTTGCAATTTTGTATGTCGATGATTTTTTATACTTCATTTCAAATTTTGGTTAATACGGATTTTTTCAAAAAATTCACAATATAATTCAATTTTTTTTCATCTCAATTATTCACAAATTTTTCCAATAATTTTTTTTTTCATTACCAACAAATATATTTTCTCAAGATTTTTTTTTAATTTTTTGATCCAAAATGTTAAGTCTCTTGTTGCATTTTTTTTTTTTTTTTTTTTTGAGAGACTATAATATGTACTCAATATTTAAACAAAAACTAAATCCATAATTATTTTTTAATTATAAATTTATTTTTGTTAATTTTTTATTGCTGATATTTTTTTTCAATTCCGTTCAAAATTTTGAATTTTTGTAAATTAATAACAATTTGGAGAAATTAAAAATTTAGATTTTTTTTACATTCATAATTTTTTCTCTATCATTAACAAAGTTTTTAGTACCACAAATTTTCATTACTAATTTTAATTTCTTTTAACTCTTATTTTTTAATTTTTATTATTTTTTTAACTTTTTATTTTTTTGTTTTTATTTTTTTAATTTTAATTTTTTTAATTTTTATTTTTTTAATTTTTATTTTTTTAATTTTTATTTTTTTAATTTTTATTTTTTTAATTTTATTTTTTTTTTTTCAATTTTTTTTTAATTTTTTTTTTATATTTTATTAATTTTTATTTTTTTAATTTTATTTTTTTTTTCAATTTTTATGTATTTTTTTAATTTTTATATTTTATTAATTTTTATTTTTTTTAATAATAAAAAATTCATTTATATAAAAATATATTTTTTAGTCGACTTATTTTTTGGTATTTTTGATATTGTTCTTAATTTTTTCTTCGAATTTGTGAAAAAGTTTTCCATTAACAATTTTAATTTCTTTGAATTCTTATTTTTTTATTATTATTTTTTTTTTAACTTTTTATGCAAACATGCATGCATGTTTGCATATGCCATGCTAGCAAACAGACAGCAGCAAGCAATGTGTTTGTTGTTGTAGCAGCCCTATTGCTTTTACACAACGGGCCGAGTTGGCCGAGTAAGACTCAGGTCGTTTCGGATCGTAGACCCCTCTGTCGTGGAAATGATGTGTTTGTTTTTGTTATCTTTGCCATTTGTTGGTAGATTTGTCACATTTAATTATTTCTTTGCATAACTGTGATAATACAAGAGAGGGAGAGGACTACTACTGTGATACTCTTCAAAACAAAGATAATATGGGGTTATATTTCAAAAGGGAGACATAAGTACTTAAAATTCTTTAATGATGGCATATGTTACATACATTAGAGTAAGTGTGTGTGTAGGTGGGTGGTATGGTGTGGCGTTAAAAATAAACCCTTATTGTTGTTGTTGGTCATTTATAGAAAAATGCATTAGAAAGTGGCATTTTTAAATTAGAAGGCCCATAGAGGAGAAGGGTGTTTTAAAATATATGGCGACCATGCTTAATTTCAAAGAGACCGCTTGCTCGCATTATACACTCCTATAGGGAAGTGAGAAACTTCAATTACAAATAAAGAGAGCGAGCCGTAGGTAATTACCACTGAGAGGGGAATAGGCGAGCCAGAGATGGGAAAATGCAATTCAATGCCGTTGAATTATGTAGCCAATTACGGAAATTGCTGTAACTTTGCTAAAAATTATCCGATTGAGATGTAATAAAATGCATTTTGAAGGAGAATTTTTCTAGTTTCAGATTTCAACAATCGAATAAATATTTTCTATAAATTTGGCGTAAAAATATTTAGGAATATTGAGAAAAAAAATAGGGACAATACATAATTTCAAAGAGGCCGCCTGCTCACATCACATAAACTCCTATAGGGAAGTGAGAAACTCCAATTAAAAATGAAGGGAGAGAGAGCCACAGAGAAAAGAATAGGCGAGCCAGGGATGGGAAAATGCAATTAAACGCCGTTGCATGCATTATGTAGGCAATTGCGGAAATCGATGTAACTTTGTTAAAAAATATCCGATTGAGATGAAATAAAATGCATTTTAAAGGGAAATTTTTCTAATTTCAGATTCAAAACCTATTTATAAATTTGGCGTAAAAAATATTATGGAATATTGAGAAAAATAGGGGCAATTGCATAATATCAAAGAGGCCGCCTGCTCGAGAGAGAAGAATAGGAGAGCCAGAGATGGGAAAATGCAATTAAACGCCGTTGCATGCATTATGTAGGCAATTGCGGAAATCGATGTAACTTTGTTAAAAAATATCCGATTGAGATGAAATAAAATGCATTTTAAAGGGAAATTTTTCTAATTTCAGATTCAAAACCTATTTATAAATTTGGCGTAAAAAATATTATGGACTATTGAGAAAAATAGGAACATTGCATAATATCAAAGAGGCCGCCTGCTCGAGAGAGAAGAATAGGAGAGCCAGAGATGGGAAAATGCAATTAAACGCCGTTGCATGCATTATGTAGGCAATTGCGGAAATCGCTGTAATTTTGCAAAAAATTATCCAATTGAGATGAAATAAAATGCATTTTAAAGGGGAATTTTTCTAGTTTTAGGATTTGATAAAAATAAATTATAGTTTCAAAAAAAAAACTTGTGTAATAAAATTATTATGAAAATTAAGAAAAATAATAATACAAAAAAGGAGTATAGGCCAGGGATGGGAAAACTTCACTGTTGTATTTCATAGAGAATTGGGGAAACTACTATAATTTTGGCAACAAATATCGTATTGAGGGTGAACTTAAATGCATTTTAATGGGAATTTTTTTTCAGTTTCAGGATCCAAAAAAATCAAATTACAGTTTCAAACAACTTATTTGCAAAAATCGTTTTTAAATATATACTTAACAAAATTAAAAAAAACATCTATGTTAGAAATACTTCATAAAAAAATACTATCAATAATTATTTTTAAAAATACTCTCAAAAATTATTTTTAGGAAATACTCCCAAAAATTATTTTTAGGAAATACTCTCAAAAATTATTTTTAAAAATACTCTCAAAAATTATTTTTAGAAATATAAAACTTAGAAATACTTCAAAAAATATTTTTAAAAATCCTCGATTTTTGACGGATTCCCGACGCTGCTAAGCTAATCCTCTTTTATCTACAGAAGTCTTAATAGTAAATTTATTATTTTACGACAAAACCCACCACCTTTATCTTCAATGCCCAGCCAGCTAATTCCTTCTGACCCTCATCTTCCTTTCCACCCCCTCTGAACACCATGTGGTCAGGTCGGCCAGCCGGTCGTTCGATATTATTTTGAAATTGTTATTGCAATTTTTCATGTTTTTTGTTAGTGTCAAACAACAACAGATGACTGACATTTTAGTTTGCCCAGCAATTTAAGGAGACGGTGGTGATGAGATGATGATGGTGGTTGGTTGGCTGATTTTGTTGTCAAGAAGTCTATTGTCCGTCCATTGATCCATAGCCAGCGGCTGTCAAACGTG